AAATAACACAGCCAACCGGGGTAGTCGCACCCCAGGTAACAAAGACAAACAAACTCGTCTGGGGCATAAGGTCACCTAAAGGTGTGTGTGCGGGGGGACCCGTCGGGCAGATGGGGGCATATAGGTTGGTTGATTGTTCGGGGTGGGGGGGTAGGCACGTATAAACAGACAAAACCAAAGACCAAACCTAAGACCAGGGACGCCACATACACGAACACCTTTACTCTCAGCAAAACCACCCCCCCACCCTAACGGACTACACACCCCGAACACCAGCCACAACTAGCATAGAAAGACAAAATGCGGTGTTTATGCACGTACCCTGGTTCCACGGGGTGTGGAAGTGAACACCTTGTGCGACAGACACCAACGACCGACAGTCCGGCGGCGGGGGGGGAAGGAGGCGGGGCACCAGGGAAAGACACGTCCAAGACACACTCACAAGCCAGCCGGCGGCCCCCTGAGCACTGCCTGCTGACTGTCCGTGCGGGCGCGCCTGGGCGTCGGGCGTGGGTAGGGGCGCGCAAACGCGGTGGTCCATTGGGGGGCGTCGCGTCAGTGAGGTCGGGGATGCGGACATAGGGTCCGCCGGCGCGTAGCCGGAGCGCGGCTCGGCGAGGGGGACTGGCAGGGGGCGGCCTAGCGTGCACCTCACCCCCGCGAGTAGAACTACGCACACGCGGCGGCCAGCGGAGGACGGTGGCGGGCGCTGCTGCCATGCCCCGGGTGGCGGGGCGTCTCGCGCGCGCGAACACGCATAGCAAGACACAACAAACCGCAACTAACCCAACCACGAAGGCCCCACAAATGACCCACACGCGCCCCAGGATGGTGGGGGGCCTAGTGGGCCGCGCCGCCACACTCGCGCCAGCGTGCAAGTGGCGAAAGAACGGCCACCAACACTCCCTCGAAAAAACAACCGGTGGCGCCGTGTCGGTGTCCCGATACAGGGACCGGTCGCGGCGGCCCAAGGCTGGTGGGGGTTCGGAGGCCGGATAGCGTGACCAGCGCAACGCCGGAGCGTGGTACCGTCACAAATTTGACCGACTCAAGAGAGTGCCCCCTTGAACCTGTAGCTCAAGGGAAGACCGAATAACCTCGTCTGTCTTACGAATCAAAGCGCAGCCTATGATGGAAGACTCGACTGCTTCCAACATCTCTGACCCCAAGTATCACGCTTCATCCAAGCCTACCACTTCAGTTCCACCGCTTCCCATCGAACCAACTGCCACGTCTTCAGCAGTTCCTTCAATTTTGTGATCCGATAGGACGTCTAAGACGACGCCTTCCTCTGATTCGAACAAGTCGACTAGGTCGGGTAGACGCCTTCATTGGCCAGTGCGATTAAGGGATCAGTGTTTCTTTCACTCCTTATCGTTTTTCTTTTCCCTTTTGGCCAACAACGTACCAATCCCCCCAAAAGCTTTTGAAAACGCCAAAAAACCGATAAAAGTTTTTTTGAAAACCTAAAATGAACGCAAAATGTTTTGAAAACCCAAAAAAGAACAAAAAGTTTTAAAAACACAAGAAGTGTTGTGTTTTGCCTGACGCCTACCTCATCCAGTAAGTGGCACTCTTGCTTTTGCCCTCGTCTCCACCGTCACTGCTCTTGTTTCCGTTTATCTTCCATGTATGAACCGGAGGAGATGCCAAGTCTGAAGCGAACATTTGACCTTCACGAACTCGCGAACATTTAACGCTTACGAACTTCCCCATTTTGTGTATTTAGCACCGTTAGGGAGGACACGGTTGGAAGCCCGCTAGGGTCCGATCGCCTGGTTCGCCCCCAGCAGCTGCATCAGGTTTCACTACCTGGTCTCGCAGAAGGCTGGCCCGCGACGGACAGTCCTCACGTAGATCGAAGGGTCACCCACGGTTTTCCTTCTAGGAGGGGGCTGTGTAGCGACCTGGAGATTCCCCTGCATGACTGTGTAAACTATTCTAAAATACATTCAAATTATAGCTTTCTTATGTATTAGGGAATTAGGCAGTTTGCCTGTTGGAACGTTGTTCCCGTTTGTTGGAAACAGGAACGCGATCTCCGCCTTTGGCGCGCGGCTCGACTGCGAACGACGCTCCGTCTACGCTCTCGACGCCAACGACATTCTCCCTAGCTAGCTGTCTTCTGGTGCCATATTTTTAGCATTAGCTAACGCTCCTCCCGTCCAATAAACTTCTTCGTCTAGTCGCGTACCGGATATATAGCGCACGATCAACGCGCTATAGTCTACATTCCATTGCACGGATTTAAGGCAGTAACACGTAAACTACTCAAATGGTTGACGGAGTAGGACAACATTGACCTTGAGCCGTGAGCAAACAATTAAACTGTTTTAAATTTAAAAACAAAATATATGATCCGCAGTCTGTGGCGTAAAATTATCCAAAAAGAACAGCAACGACCGAATTTGTATGCCCCGCCACCACAGTCCGCTGTGTCCGACTCCAGTTGCCTTCTGATGTCGACGTTTACTTTCGCGTACCGTCTCGGACTAATATTTACTAATCCTTCAACAGCGGCCATGGTGTTCGCTCCCATTAATCGCGACCAGTAAGGTACAAAGCCGCCATAAGGCGAAACGCGCGTCTGGTTTAGTCCGGCTTGGTGAGGCTTTACCATTGTGGCTGGTAATCTAAGTTCCATGAAACCAAACCGGATTTTGTTCTTTCGTGCGCTGGGATGCGTGAGCTGTAACAGGTGCGAGGAGGGGCTATTCGATTTCCCTTAGCAGATGAGTCCATACCTAATTCCCAGGAGCCTGACGTCTAGGCTTTTCACCTTGTTGGCCGTGCTACTAACATAACGTTATCGGACAGGTTTATATTAGCTAACTGAGAGCGTGCGGAAGAAATTGTTGAGCGCGTTTCAGTGTCGAAATGAAAAAACTCGTGCAGACACAGACAATTGAGCAATATCGACATTTTCAACAAATACTGAATAAAAACGGCAAAGCGGAAAGATAGCCGCATTCAAAGTCATAACGAGACTACAAACTATTTATTGCGCACTAAGTGCTGCGACTACTTCACAACATTATCGGCAGCATTGACTAAACCTTTGTTCCGGCGGGGGAACGGGAGGGGTTCGTTGGGGGTGAAGGGGGACGTAGTTGTATTACTTGTACCAGAAAAAACCGACCCAACCCACCACCGACAATCATACTAGAGAAACACAAAAACACTCGCGGACTCACGCCCATACACTAGTAAACATCAGGCATCTTGGATGGCCCAACTGAAGAGGGATAATGAAATAAGCTAACCCTGATTTACGCAACTGGTGACAACGACGAAGAGGAGAGTGTCATACGTCCTAAGTCTGACTGAGGTCAGAATGTACAGTTCCATCAGAATGTCGGACACACCTTTCCTTAGCAGAGTTCCACGAAGCAAGCCTTTCTACTGAAGTAAATGCCTCCTACAGGTCCAACAACGCTATGATTTTCAGCCGACGGTGGACGTAAAGACCTAGCGATCTAGCCGTGCAAAAGCAATTGTGAGAAGTTAAACAGTGTCTTAGAAATGAAAACGATGGGCAACTACCAACACATGCCCACATCACGCTTCGCAAAACGCTAAGATCACTCTGATATAGATCATAATAAATCATAGTAAGACCAAATATCAGAAAATCCGTTGACACACAGGACCAATAATGCTATGATATTTAGCAGATGGTGGAAGTAAAGAGTTCGATAAGTTGATGGAGCGTCAAGAATCGGATGGTGCAAATACGGCTTTGACGAAACCCTGCAAATTTCTACTTGGAAAAGACCACGCTCATAGCTTAAAGACTGTATCAGATACAAAAAATAATGGACGGAAGCGAGATCAGCGAAATTCCACGTTAGTTGATGTGATCTTCACGAAAGCTTCCCATGTGGATTGGGACAACAACTGATTCTCCCCATAAATCGAGATTCTTTTCGTAAGTACAAAACAGAGAAGGTTTCACTAACCCCCAACATGTGGCGAGATAAGGCTTCACACCCGCCGTGAGCCGATGGCTAAACACTCAGTTCAAACGCCTTTTAGATGGCAAAAGGCCAGACCTGGGGTAAAAAAGATCACCATTATCATCAACAGCAGAACATCGGCCATTTTAACTGACGCTTAGCTGCAGTGTAACAAAAACGACCTATGCAACGAAGAATAATAACAGGGAGAGAAGGGGGACTTAACGAAAAACTTTAATGCCTAAACCATGTCAACAACACACCTCCACAAATAGCTGGCTATCGTGCAAATATAATGCGGCATCAGCGAGACCGCCTCCTTGCGCCTCTCACCACTCCGCGTCATAATCAGCCATTACCCCGGAAATAACTCAGCACCAAATACACTTCAAACAGGCAGTCTGAGTAGGAGACGACAGCAGACGTGTCACTGGTGTTGACTGCGAGCCATGTCCTATAACGACTCAAGTCCCGTCGATTCCAATCTGGAAGGCGAAACGGAACAACAGCACCAAGTTTGGTCGTCAGTGATATTTCCTGCTGCGAAGTCAACTTGTGTCCATCTTGAATCTTGCGTCACTTAAGATTTGGCAGAAAGAACAAAACCCTCCTCGGTAAGCCATAACCGGGCATAGTTAGTACGCGCCAAACTAACGCAACATATTCAGTGCTATCTGTTGTTCTAAGGAACTAGCATGGTTATCACGGCCTAGAACTCGCTTACGCACATCACCGTTGCGGACACGCTGGTGGCGCCCGACACCCGCAATGCTTCGCAGACAACGATGACCAAAGGCCTAAAGGCCGCAGGTCCTCGGATCGGAGGGTTCAAGTTTCGCTTCCATAGAATAGGACGGCCCTCACTGTGGCCTTGCAAATACGGCCTTTGAGACGGAGGGAAACTCCTTTTCGACGCCAAAGAGGTCGCAGATTCGAGAAGGCAGTTTTGGCTTTTGCAATACGTGAACTGAGTTCAGTGCTATGCGCCCATCGTTGCTGATACAGTTGCCAAGGTAAATAAATTGATCAACCACCTCAAGTTCCTCGGTATCAAGAGTCGAGGGGTCATCAAATGGCTGGTGGTCCTGCAGCAACACTTTGCAGTTTGAAGATATGAAGCGTAGGCAAAGCAATGAGACCACTCTAATGAGGTTAATCAGGGTTGATTGCGCTGCGCTAACATGGCTAAACAGCCAGACGATATCGTCAGCATAAATGGGATAAACTACCCTTTCACCAGGCAGCATCTCAACGCATGCACTGTGAAATTCCGCGAGGGAACACTCCATGATGGAGCCCACGATGAAATTAAACAAAAATGGGGAATTTAGGCGACCCTGAAAAACCCCACTTGTTGTCGGAAAGATACCCGATAAGTCACCGTAGACTCTGACGAGGCTTGTCGTGTTCGAGTAAAGAGCACAAAGAATGTTCACATATTTCATGGGAACACCTTTCCGCGCAAGTATTCCGAACAGAATGCATCAATCAATTGAGCAGCACGCACACTTGTACTGCAAAACTACCGATGTCAGAGGTAAAATTCATGTTTCGATTGCTTGCCGATGCATAATGTCTCCAACAAAGAAAAGAATTAGTTACTTAATCTAGCAGTGAGTCATACTCACCACGTCGCTGTGGTTTTCTATTGAGAGAACGGTTGTCAAACAAAAATCCCACCACGCCCTGGAACACTGCCGCCGAATCATTCGCTGTAACGAAAAATTTCTGAGCCACCTAGCTGGCATCACGTGGAGGTTTTC